TGCGCTTGCTGTGTGATCTCCCCCAAGGTGAACTGTTTATAATCTTCCCTGGCACCAAGGTCAGGCTGACAGGCCTGGAGTTTCGTGGGTCCTTCATGCCCTTCTTGCAGCTGGGTGTCACATTGGCAGGTCTCCAGTCATCCGGGACCTCCCCCATTAGCCAGGACTGCTGGTAAGTGATGGATTGCCAGCTTTCTCAGCACTCCTGGGTGAATCTCATTTGGCACCATAGACTTACGGGTGTCCAGCTGGCTCAGCAGGTCCTCCTCTGCTATTTCTTGGATTATGAGGGGATCGTTCTGTTCTCCATCCCTTTCTTCCAGCTCAGGGGACTGAACACCACGAGGGTAACTGGGCCGTCTATTGAAGACTGAGGCAAAGGCAGCGTTCAGTACCTCAGCCTTTTCCTCACCCTTAGTAACAGTGTTCCCCCTCGCATCCAGTAAAGGATGGAGATTCTCCCTGGTTCTTTTTTTTTGTTGTTGTTGTTAAGCTATTTGTAAAAACACTTTTTATTATCCCTTGCAGTGGTGGCCAGGCTGAGTTCTAGATGATCTTTTGCCCCCCTAATGTTCTTTCTACATGACCTAACTAAATATTTATCCTCTTCCTGAGTAGCCTACCCAGTCCTCCAAAGGCTGTAGACTCTCTTCTTTCTCCTAAGTCCCAGCTTAGTCCCTTCTCCAAGTAGAGAACTGTTTTGATCTCTGCAAATGAGCTCCAGCTAATGATGGCACCAACATGTGGTTCAGAAATAGCAGTTTTCCAGATTTGTCTGTTCCTTATCCATGCAGTTAAGATATTGATGATATTGATATGAAGGTGATGATATTAATAGGAAGGGGTTTTGGTACTATGATGCCTTGCAAAAGGAATGAGGGGGGGGAAAGAAAAAAAAAAAAAAGAGCCAGACCCCATCCCCAACTAGGTGAATTGTAACGCGGAATTCAGTTTAAACAGTTTTCCTTGTGGGATAGTTTTCATGTGGAAGACTGAGCGGTTTAAAGGATTCGGTGTAACAAGATGTTCTGCAACATTTGGGTTAAGCATGGTGTTGGATGTGGTAGCTGCTGTGTCCTGGGGGGAAGTGTGGAGGATGGCTTTCCACTGCTGCTGGCGTCCATCTTGCTTCCTGACAAGAAACCCGCTGTTACATGAAGTTATTTTGCCAGAGCTTCTTGACAGGTTATGGCTTGTTTGCTGTGATTGTCCTAGGGTAATTAATATTAACAGGCTCACAAAGAATAGCATACTGAGTTTGGGTCTGATGGACGTTGCAGAGGGTTTTTTTTTTTGCTGTTTTCTTCCCCTGTTTTTAATCTGGCAAAATAGCATAAATGGGCAATTTAGTGGTCAGTGTTCTGCAGTGCATTTACAAGCTATATTCAAATAAAGATTAAAAATAATCTCTGTGCACACACGCTTTGCTGGACTGGAGGAGGTTGGTCGAGGTTCAGGGCTATGAATAGAAACATTTTTTTGTAGCCATGTTACTGCTGCAGTGCTGATGGGGATGATGTTGCTGGGAGGGACAAGGACTTTGTAAGGGACTGTTCAGACTGCAGTCTCCACTACTGAAGTGATCCCTGTGGTTTAGAAACTGGGGTCCCTTATTTTCCCCAGTGTTGATGCTTCCTCTGTGGGCGTGAGGGCTCCTCAGGGATCGCCTACATGTAGCAGTTGTGCCACCCTGCAGCTCTTTGCAGGGCAGGGGGACCCCGGTAGCCCTGTTGGGTGCTGGAGTGGAGAGGCTGTGTAGGTGGGCAGGCACCGTTGCCTCGAGGGCCGGGCGAAGGAAGGGTGCTGCAGCAGGCTTCGCTCCGCGCTTCAGGGGGCCTCAAAATGAAACCCAGGGCCAGTATTGCAGATGCTGTGGTAGTATTGGCCCAAGCAGTACTGAGCTTAGGGCCATGTCTGCTTACAAGTGTCCCACTGTGGTGCTGTTAGGCCCATCAGTAATAAGCAAGTGGGGATTTTTTTTAAATTTGTTTTTTACCTGGTGAAGTAAAGCATCATATTTTGGAAATACAAATACAAATCTATTCTGAAATAGCTCAGTGAAAAAGATTTCCCTGAATTGCTTGCTTTTATGCTAACTGCCACAGAAGATGCTTGTCTTGTCTTAAATGTCAATTTATGTCAAAAAAAAGTAAATTTTTTTTTCTGTTCCAACAGAATTGATTGATGAATGTCTTGGTCACTTGATGGAAAGTGTACTTTTTAGACAGCTTGATAATAGTGTATTCAAATAATCAATTAACTTGTAGGGATCAAAATGAGATCTCACCAAAGGGTTTGTAAGGGAGTTTGTTCTGGGTCGTTTTTTGTAATGATACCCAGAACACTTTAGGTATTAATCAGAAGATCATTGTTCTGCTTTCGATCCATTTAAAGTAATTGCAAGCTTATAGGTAAAGGAAATTGATGGTGTGCCAAACACAGATGCAGCTTCCACAGTGGCTTTTGTTGATTTCTACTGTTTGTTTTTATATGCTCTTCTCATCTTCTAGATAGCTTCTAAATAGTCTTAGAAGTAGTTTGTAATGGATGTCTATCTGTCTGTTATAGAGTGAGCTTGTTCTCCTGTTCACATACTTTGCTACTTCTAATCACTGCGCTGGATCTTATAGCTCAGTGGTTCCCAAATATATTTTAAATAGCTGATAACTTTCAGATGATTGCAGATTTGTAAGTAACTTTCTCAACATGTAAAACTGAAAACTAAAATTAAACTTAAGCCCAGTAACATTCAGCTGCTTGCTGCAGAGAACTTATGTTGTGGTAAAGATAATGTGGGAACCACCTAATTTTAATTTAATTTTAGAAGACTTTTTGTAGGAGGGTTTTGCATCATACCCCTGAGAACAAGGACAGAAAGTTTTTTGAAAATCTGGGCAGCTGACCCTCAGAGTCCCTGTCATTTCTAAAGTAACATTTTTACTTTGGCCTGTCTGTTACCTTGTCTTTTCAGTAAACAACTGTTCTCTGTATCCAGAATGTGTGCCTGTGCATGCATAATGAAAAATGGGGTGAAAAAAGATCAGGGAAAAAAATAAAAATGCTTAATCACAGGAAGTTTTCAAGTAGTTTTTCTAAGTAGTGTTCTCATTTAGTGATCTGTTGCAGCTGAGTGATGGAGAGGTACTTGTCATAATAGGTTGTTTCCTTGAGGCTCTTCCATAAGGTTTTGAGGAGTTCTTCCTCAAGTAACTGTAAAGTTGAAGCTAATAACCTCTGTGTAATCAATAAATTACAGGAACAGTTGCAGGGTCCTCAGGATAGATTCGTAAAGCAAGTGGATGCTTTAGGCAAAGACTTTTTGTAAGTCTGAATAGAAGGCTTTATTTGTTTCCAAATAGATTCAGCACAAAGCATTTTTCTTGAGAAGTCTCTTATAACAGGAGGTATGTGTGAATTAATGCTCTGTGTGGAGGTATCTCGAATACTAACTATGGTATTAAAAGACCAATCACTTTCTACCTTTTCTATCTTTTCTGGATTTAGTGTAACGATTTTGTCTTTTCACTCAGTTCTCACCTCTTTCCTACAATTCCTTCCTTTCCAGATATAAAACTATAATTCCCTGTAAGTGAAATTATTTTTTTTTTTTTCTAATGGACTGTTTGGTGATCTTGGTAGCTTTCCTGTGTAGCCCAAAGAGTGGTTTTTGAATGCTTCTCTCTTAAAAATAGAGATGCCAAAATGCCTGGTAAATTTTAAGAGCCAGAAAGTATGAAGAAAATGGTTTTGCATGTGTTATTATGCTCTGTGCAATAAGTGTGTGCTGGAGGCATATGGATTTTTACCTACAGCTAGGAGTGGCAAAGAATAGGGAGAGAAATCAAACCAAATGTGTTGCTTATTTCCCATTTTTATTTTCAAAATACATAGTGGAATTAGCTACAACAAAAATAGTAATTTTAGCTTTTTTTTTTTTTACAGGTTTGATCTTGCTATTCTATCTGGTATTTTATGGCTTCCTAGCAGCACTCTTCACCTTCACGATGTGGGTTATGCTTCAGACACTGAGCAGTGATATACCAAAATACCGTGACCGGATTTCTAGTCCAGGTAACAGTGCACTCCTTCATAAACCTCTCTCTGCTTTAGCAGCTGAGTGTCATCTGAGACTGAAGGATGAGATGCCTATGGGAAACTGTGATTGTTACTCAATTACTTACAGGTTTCAAAGGTCAAACTTAGTGTGAGGCAAGTTGTGTATGTTTACAGCATAAACTCAGTCTGTAGCTTTTTGTATGTATGTGCTAACTTTTGCTATTTCTTCTATTCAGTTATTTTCAGATGAACTTGTTACGTATGTAGACTGCAATTTTACCTGCACAGCCACACAACTTGCTGTTGTAGAAGTGGGATTATAATTTAACCAAATTGCTTTAAAGGTACTATAAACCAGTTCTCTTGGATGAGATGGAAGGCCACCTCTGATAAGTATTTGGTAACTTTGAAGAAAGTATAGGAAGGCTGTACTGTAGGGCTGACCTGCCCAAGAGTGTGTAAGGACTATGATAACGCAGGCATTTCCAAAGTTTCCTTTATAATATTAGATAGCTTTTAACCAACATGGAATGTCTGTGGTCTCCAGGAGGTGTTGACCTATTATGGAGGGATCCACAGAGGGGAGAGAGTGAGTCCTGTGTGACAGAAAAAATAACCGGGACAAATAGAAGTGATAATAAGATGGTTGTCTTTTTCTTTTTTTCTTCTCCCCCTCCCCCCTTGATTTTTAAAAGATTGGTTTAAATATATAATAAAAGCTTATCATTATAGGCTCTGTTTTCTCCATACTGGAAAAAAAATACGGATTTTTCACTATGAAAGATTTAAAAGGTACTTCTGCATACTTTAAACCAAGGAGATTAATGTTTTCTAGTTACTGTTTCTGGAGAATGTGCAAGTATTTGATTTATGTCATGTAAATTTGTAATTAAAATGATTGCTCCACCAGAAAACTTGATACCTCTAATTTTATAACAGCTTGGCTTAGTGACCAAATTTGTTTAAAACACAACAAAACTGAATGGCTATGTAATATTAACATTTTGGTGGAAGTTAGGTGTTATTTTTTAAAATACTTTTTCATTATTTTTTTTTTAACTCCAGACTTAAAATTACCTAGCATCCTGCAGCTGCATCAGAACTTAAGATGATGCAGCACTTGTGTGAGCAAGTTGCAATTGGGCCAGTGTGATAAATCTCACTAGATTGTAAACAGAATTTGTTTTGATGTACTTTTCAAGCCTTCTCTGAGTTATCCTCTTATGAAGGATTCTTGAGGATTTGTGCTGTTATCTCAAGCTAAGAATGGGCTAAATGCTGGGAAGAATAATAGTAAAAAATACTTGCATAGTTTAAAAAATAAGGGGGGGGGGGAAAGATGGCTTAGCTTGCTATTTCTCACCATTTTCTTTGTGGTAGTCAACTTTGGTAGTGGATGGGGCTGTGGGTAGCTGTGATTTAGTACTGGATTTGGGTAACTATCTTGTGCCTCTTGTGGTTCAGGGTATTTTCCTTTGTTTTGAGATAAGTCATAGGGGATGTTTGTTTAAAAAAGTATGTATGCCACAATTAGTTTTTAAGAAATAGTTTTTAATTTAAGAATTCCTATATTTAATTTCTGAATTATTTATTAATGGTGTCTTTAATTACTCATACTCATAAATCAAGTTAATAAAAATGTTTATTTCTGTTTTAATATTTCTCTTTAACTCTGTCATTTTTCACTTGCAGTGAAACATGTCATGTTCCTGGCTGTAAAATTTTAAATTATAAAAAAAAATTCTACACACAAAACCTGGATGGCGTAGGTTGAAGGTTCTACTCATATTAAACATACTTTGAAATATCACAGTTGATTTATTTTATAATTGATAGGTGACTTGTATTGTACACTGGGGTATAATGGTATCAATCAAATCCAGATGATTTTAAAACTTTTTTTAAAAATCTGTCTTAGAATTGTAGGAAAATGTAATCACTGTTAGAATTGTAGAAGTTATCCTGTGAGGCTGCTAATTCTTTTCCTCAAGAGCTCAAATCCTGCATCTCTAACAGTCTCTGCATCAGTCCTTCAGATAGCTTCTCTTGTAGAATTTACACCGTAGTCCCTAGGCAGACTGTGATTCGTTGGAACTGGAGCAATCTCTTCCTCTTAGGATGTTTTCAGAGTTCCCCTGAAGCAATAAATCTCTCAAATTATCAACCAGTTTCGTTACTTTGTCATATTTGCTTTGGAAAACATCATTTAAGTCCTTCATTTACAGTATAATTCTATTGATAATAATCTTGTAGTGTGTAATACCCCCTCCAGCAATTTTCAGTCCTGTTACTAATTATTTTGTATTTTGTTGAATGCCAGTTCAGTGTGGAGTCCTGAAGATGACTGTATTCTGACTGATTTGCAGTCAGAAATGGTATTTGTAATATTATATAAACTGTCAGTCACTAGGGCATTTAGTTCTGGCTTGCCTGAAAATAATTTCTGCTAATGCAGAAGGAAAATTTATGATTTATTTGAAATCCTACAAAAAAGGTAGAGTAAAAAAGCACTATTCCCCTGCCCCCCTCTCTCCCCCTCCCCCCAAATCTAAAAGATATTTGGCTGAGATAAATTTCTAGTATATACCTTTATCATTTCCAAACTTGAAGTATTTGTAATAATTTCAGCCTTTGGATGAGAAGCTTGGTCCTTCATGTCGGTGAATCCTTAAATAGACCTGAGCTGCTTAATTGCACTTTCTATATGCTTTCCAAAAGCTTACTGTGATTGGTAACTACAGTAATGTATTAATAATCCACCATTAAGAACAATTTACCTGACTTTTATCTTCCCACTGTACTCTTCTTAAATGTTTATTTTGTATAAAGGCCTGATTTTGTTTCTGTTTATTAATTTTGAGAGAAGTTTTGTTTTCTTTATTCATCTGAGAATTTTTAATTTGGGAGGTTTTAATTGGGTTCTGCCAGAGGATAGGAAACTACATGGGATCCTAAGCTGATACAATTAGTTGGCAAGATCATGGAGCAGATCCTCCTGAAGGCTCTGCTGAGGCATGTGGAAAATGAGAAGGTGATTGGTGGAAAGTAACACGGCTTCACCCAAGGCAGATTACGCCTGAGCAACTTGATGGCCTTTTACAATGGAGTTACAGTGATGATGGATGAAAGGGGAGAGTAATGGACATCACCTACCAGGACTTGTGCAAAGTGCTCAACACTGTCCCTCACGACATCCTGGTCTCTACCTGGGAAAGACAAGGATTTGATTGATGGACCACTCAGTGGATTAGGACTTGGCTGGATGGACACACTCAAAGAGTTGCAGTCAAGAGGTCTATGTCCAAGTGAAGACCAGTGATGAGTGGTGTTCCTCAGGGATTGGTACTGGGACTAGTGCTGTTTAACATGCTGCTTAACATGTCGGTGACATGGACAGTGGCACTGAGTGCACCCTCAGCAAGCTTGCAGACCACACCAAGCTGTGTGGTGCAGTCAGCGTGCTGGAGGGAAGGGAGGCCATCCAGAGGGACCTGGACAGGCTTGAGAGGTGGGCCCAGGCCAACCTCATGAAGTTCAGCAAGGCCAAGTGCAAGGTCTTGCACCTGGGTTAGGTCAATCCCAAGCACAAATGCAGGCTGGGCAGAGTATGGATTGAGATCAGTCCTGAGGAGAAAAACTTGGAGGTGCTGGTTGGCAAAAAGCTCAACATGAACCAACAATGTGGGAGTGCAGCCCAGAAAGCCAAGTGTATCCTGGGCTGCATTGAGAGAAGCGTGGCCAACAAGTTGAGGGAGGCGATTCTCCTCCTCTCCTCCACTCTCGTGAGGCTCCATCTAAAGTACTGTGTGCAGCTCTGGAGCCCTCAGTACGAGAAAGGACATGGACCTGCTGGAGTGGGTGCAGAGGAGGGCCATGAAGATGATCAGAGGGCTGGAGCAGCTCTCCTGTGAGGACAGGCTGAGAGAGTTAGGGTTGTTCAGCCTGGAGAAGAGAAGGATCTGGAGAGATGTTATTGCAGCCTTCTATATCTGCAGGGGTCCTAGAAGGAAGCTGGGGAGGGACTTTTTTCCCTTGTAGTTTTAGAGCCGAGGGGTAACGGGTTCACCCTGGGAGGGGGTAGGATCAGATTGGATGTAAGGAAGAAGGCCCTCACTGTGAGGGTGGTGAAACACTGGAACAGGCTGCCCAGGGAAGCTGTGGGTGCTCCATCACTGGAGGGGTTCAAGGCCAGGCTGGATGGGGCTTTGAGCAACCTGGTCTAGTGGGAGGTGTCCCTGCCCATAGCAGGGGGCTGGAACTAGATGATCTTTAAGGTCCCTTCCAACCCAAACCATTCTACGATTTTGTGATTCAAGAATTTTCCCTGTTAGCACAGCCTGACTAAGGTGAACCCCTTTCAAGTGACATGCATGCAGTGGTTCATTAAAGATTCTTATGTTCTCCATAAGAGATGACATCTAAACTTCCTATTTGTGTAAAACAAGGAAAGGACTAACAACTAACTTGGCTTATTTGTTCTGATTGGGAAATCTTTCCAGCCATCTTTATGCATTATAAAGCTTTAAAAAATACTTTTTCTTGTGGCTTTCTATGCGATTAATGCAGTCATGGCTTTGCTAGATTGCCTAAAGCTTTGAAGCATGCCTTTAACTGGAGGTTTTCTGGGTATGGTTTTGGGTATTTTTAAAATAATTTTTTAAATTTAATTTGCTGAATATGGAAAGGGGGAAGTGAATCAGTAAAATTCTTTGATTGAAATTGATTAACTTGCTGATTTTGCTATTCCTAATCTGTTTGGTGTAGTTTATGAGTTGTTGTTACTGCTGATTTAATTTAAGTATTAACTCACGTAATGTTGATTTTGATAACTGGCTTCAAATACAAACTGCCTTCCAGTGCTGTGTAATAGAGGGGTAATGCTGATGATTCTTTACAGACAGGTATTTTCTAATTTAAAGGATGTGATTTTTGAGTAGCTTAGAGTGGT